TCCAGCCTCTTTCTGAGCTGTGCTCTGCTGTATAGAGGCCGTATCTCCAGACAGCGAGTCCTTCCTTCGCAGTGTTTCCTTCATCTCCTGCTTTGTCAAGTACGTGTTGGTCACCCCTGCATCTCTGCGTGTGCCACTTACTACCCTGTGTTATGTAATCTCTGAAGATAGAAAGAAAACAAAAAATCGCTGTCCTTCAGAGGTTCCTAAAGCCGCCTGTATAGTTGGTACATTTGATTCAAGAAGGCATTGAAACACAAGACTGACAGGACTGAATAAAGTGCCCGCAAGCTGGAGAGGGCCCTTCACTTTGCACAGAGGCATTCTTGAAAATGGTTAAGAGCCATTTTCACAGAAACGAATGAAAACAGTGTGTGCTGGGAAAGAAACACTCAAGAGAGACAGGATGTCCTAGGCATGCACACACCTTGATGACTAGTTTTATCATGAGAATCTACTGGCTAGTTGCCAGGGTTAGGGGGCAGATAGCAGACAAATGGGGTGCCTGCCTGTCACCTCAGTGGTCTGCACTCAGGGTCCCAGCCTCATGGACACATTGTGCACAACTTCATACCCACCCTGCCCTGATCCTTTGGGCAAACTGGGCATTGCCTATTGTTCTACTAAGCACGACATGCTGGTCCAGTGGCCAGGTTCCTCCACCCAATGAACAGTGTTTCTAAATAAAGATCTGAAGATAGGGTGTCTCAGCTGGCTTGTCAAAGCCAATTCCACTTCATCCTGCTGCATTCTGTTTGAGAGTCACCTGGTCATGCTAAGTTTGTTCTGAAGAGACTGTCCCAACCACAAATAGACGACAGAGTTTGCACTCCTGCCTTTTCTGGTACCTATTGAGGATGTCTGTACCCTGCACACATGTCCCATTCATCAGAGGCTGGTAAGCTGACAGGGATTCAGAAGGAGCCTTACTTCCAGGCTGCCATGCCCAGGGTGGGTAAAGGGGCCAAACAGGGCTACAAAGAGCAGGGTGCTGGGGGCACAGGGCAGGCACAGAGGCTGCTAGGACTTCATGGGATCTGACCTCGCATAGTGCCATGATTTTGCATTTGAAATAATGCATGCACAGAGGAGACCCCTTCCTGGGGTGTCAGATTTTATATCTTCAGTGGCCGATGCTGTGGCCTTTGGGGAACACCCATTGGAGACTACAGTACACATTGGGAATGTACAGTGCCATGGAAATTGCATGAGTTGTCTTATCCGTTTGTTAAAAGTTTTTTAAATTTATTTTTCTTTTATGTGTATGAGTGTTATGCCTACACGTGTGTAAGTGTACCTGTGTTGTGAAGTGTCTGTGGAGTACAGAAGAAGGAATCTGATTCCCTGGAACTGGAGTTATGGATGATTGTTAGCTACCATGTGGTGCTGTGATTTGAATCCAGTTCTTTGCTCTTCTTATCCTTTAGAGACGTTGGATGGACAGAAAAGAAAAAAATTGCCTTTTGTGTCAGGCAAACAAAGGGTTCCCCAGGACCTGCTTTCCTGAATGTTCTTGCTTTAGAAACAACACATTGAAGCATAGAAGTTAATGTTTAAATACTTCTTCTGAAAAAGCTCTTTCAAATTAAGGTCATTTCAAGCAGCAGTACCACGGGTGTCCCTCCTCTTCTTCCAATGGCTGTCATGCAAACCCAGGCCCTTCCCCCAGTCTTCTGCTGCTGTGGAGCAAATGACATTGTTCTTTAGGAAAGCAACTCAAGCCAGGGAGTGGAGGATTTTTATGTAGAACAATGTAAATTTATTGGTGTATTGGGCAGGCATATGCACCAGGGTTGGTTTGTTTGGTTTTGCTTTTGCTTCTGCTTTGTTCCTCCCTTCTAACTCTGTAATATTCAGCCATATTTTTGCTATTCGGTTGCCAGTTACATAGCTACAGGGTGGTGTATCTTTAATACTGTTAGCTCAGTCTTTCATGCCACTTGCCTTGTATTTTTTAAAATATTTTATTATTTTTATTTCATGTATATGGGTGTATTGCCTGCATGTGTGTAAGTGCACCTGTGGCATGTAATGCCTGTAGAGGTCAGAAGAAGGTGCTGGATCCCCTGGAACTGGAGTTGAGGATGGATCCTAGTCACCATGTGGGTGCTGGGAATCAAACCCGGGTCATCTGCAAGAGCAGTCAGTACTCTTAACTGTTGGGCCATCTCTCTTGCCCCCTGCCTTATATTCTTTACTATTCATTGTGAATTAACTTTCAGGAATATTTGAAGTCTTTGTACAGAAGGACTGGACTATCCAAGCTAGGAATCCCAGTACCACTGTTTGTTTTTTACTGAAACGTATTAAGGAAATCATGCCTTTTGCCTTAGCAAAAGTTGCTTGCTATCATTCAAATGAAAAGTATTTTTAAATTAATTGTGGTGGCACATTCCTATAATCCCAAAATTTAGGATGCTAAGGCAGGAGAATTGTTAATTTGAGGCCAGGCTGGTCTACATAGCAAGATTCCATCTCATAAAATCAAATCAAGTAATAGATAAATAAATGATTTTCATACTTGAAACCTTTCATGATAGAGTCTGAAAAAGCTCTTGGGAGAGGTACCTGAATTATGAGTCTGATTTGGCTTGGTGAGCAAGGGTTTGTTCGTTCATTGCCTTTGCAAAGGAAAGCCTTCCTGCTTTGTAAGTCAGCTATGAGATACCAAGAGATCTTAGAGGGTGTAGAGGTTGAAGCAATCAAAGGTGGCTTGCTTCTGGCTCTTAAAGCAAGACAGACTCCATATGGTAAACACGTACCTTCGAGAACTGACTGGAAAGTCCCTTCGATGAACAGGTAAAAGCCAAGCCTGTTCACCAGGTGAAGCTTCCCTGGCAGCTGAACAAACAGCACAGGAGAGAAGGGCTGTGCTAAATGAGAACAGCTGGGTGTAGACACCTCTGGGAGCTAGGAGGTGACTGCCAGGGCCTCACAGCACCTGTGTGTCTGTGGAGTCAGACAATGGCACGTTCCTTCACCAGTGCCAGGTGTAATGCTGAAAAAGGTTTGGAGCATAAACTCAGCGCTAATGGATGAAACTGTGGACTGCAGTCACCAGCCCCAAGAGAAGTTGAAAGAGAAGGCTTCGAAAGAGGACGGGAGTATTTATAGAGCAGTGCTGAAGCAAATGAAGAGTCATAGACAATTATGTTAGAGCTGAAAGGAGCCCTGGTGCTCTGTGGCCACTGGAATTTCTAATAAGGAAACGGACACGAGAAACAACTCACCCCAAATGGCCATAGAATCACCCTCTACTCATAAACTTCACATACTCATAGAAATCTGATGAGCCCCTGGTGGAGCCCAGGCACAGTTGCTGGCCCTGGATCCTGGTTTGCTGACTCACGGAGCACTGCTTTTCACTGAGATCTTTCCACCTGGATCTCTGTTTGGCATCAAACTGAAACAAGGCTGGGCCCACAGATTCCCAAGATAAAAAACCAAGCTAACTCTGAGATCTGAAAAAAGACAATGTCAAGGAAGGGGTTGCCTGACTGGTTTCAGTGATTAAATCTCCATACACAAGCACTGCTTAGCATTTGAAAAGCTTAGGACTATATTTGTGCTGACCTTTACCCAACATAGTTACTTGGAGAATAAACTTTTAATAATGGAAATGGGTTTCCTTTTGTATCTTCAGAGTATATCAAGGTTGGGAGAAGTTGGGGAGTGGTGGGACTGGGCTGGGGCAGGAAGGGCAGGGCGTGAGAGAAGAGGGGTGAAGTCAGTGATAGGGTGGGGATTTGCCAAATGCTGGTCCCTGGGCACACAGGAGAAGGGGCAGGACTGAACTTGGCCTCTCATTGTACTGATGGGAGTTGCCCATGTCCAACCTGCACTGAATGACTTCTGTCTTAGCTAAGATAAGTGCCATTTCAAAAGAAGATTCTTCTATTTCTTGGAAAGATCAGCAGACTGAAGAAATATCTTGGCCTCAGCATCCCAGCTTGGGAATCTTCACCTATGCCGATGACAGCAGGAGCTGGTGCTTACCGTGCTGTGTCCCCTGGGTACCGCTTACATAGTCACTCTAAGATGGCCAGAAAGTCCATTATTATTCCCATTTTGCAAATGAAGCTACCGAAGAACAGAGAGATGGATGAGCTTGTCCGCCTTGTGACGCTAACCTACAGGACAGCCAGGTCCCATGCTATCCTAGCCTTCTATCTCCACATTAATCATTTTCCCCTCTACGCTGTGCTGAGAGAGTAGGAAAAGAAGGCAGATTTCAATCTGTCTGGAGCCAGTATACATCAAGAACATGCCACCTGGCTCCTGGACCTGCATACAGATGAAGAGATGCCAGGAGGCCACAATCAGCAGTGACTGACCCTTCATTCAAAAGGTTTATTTGACTGGTTTCAATATGAGAGAATCACTAGAGATAGAAGAAATAAATTCATATTAAAAGTTCATTAGGTGGGGCTGGAGAGATGGCTCAGCTGTTAAGAGCCCTGGCTGCTCTTGCGAAGGACCTGAATTTGATTCCCAGTGCCTACATGGTGGCTAACTAGTATTCCTAACTCTGGTTCCAAGGGATTCAACACTCTTTTTTGGCTTCCTTGTGCATTGCATCACATGGATGCACCTACATACATGTCAGCAAAACACTCATACCGTAAAAATTAAAGTAATAAATAAAAAGTTTTTAAAAGTTTATTAGGAACTAGGCATGGAAGTAAATGCCTATAATGCCAGCACCCAACAGACTGAGACAGGGGGATCATGGGATCAAGGCCAGCCTGGGCTGCACAGGAAGACCCTGTCACAAAACAAAACAAAGTAAGAACAGACATTTGCTAGATACTCCTTGTCCTTTGAACCCCAATGGTGTCTCACTATTCTGTCCTTGCCTGGGTGACCTACCACCCTCAGGGTTACAGAAGAAATCTGTTCCGAGGTGGATGGCCCCAGACATGCGTTTGCCAGCGGCTCTGTCTCCCCGGGCAGTGCAGATAGTGAGTGACTGCACCCCTCCTTCCCCTCCTTCCTTTTAGAGCTGCCAACTTCAGGAACTTTACCTTCATCCAGCTGAATGGAGAATTTTCCCGGGGAAAGGGACTGGATGTCGGAGCCCGCTTCTGGAAGGGGAGCAATGTCCTTCTCTTTTTCTGTGATGTTGACATCTACTTCACCTCTGAGTTCCTCAACACGTGCAGGCTGAACACACAGCCAGGTATGTGGCACTTAGCACTTGTCGCTCAGGCACAGTTCCCTCTACCTACCTGCTTGGGAATCAGCCTCACCTTTCCCCAATGACAAATCACCTCGCTTGATTCATCCTTGGTTGCTGAGCAGCAAGCCCTAATTCTAGGACTCTGTCTCCGTGTGTGTCTTCTTTCTGTTTTTTACTGGGAGGTCAGATGAGTACAAGGAGAGGATGTGGTAGGGGACATGGGCCTAGAAAACTGCTCAAATGTAAAGGGAGAAAGGTAGCTATGGTCAGAAACCAAGGCAGAAGGGCCAGAAGGAACCCCCAATATAAAAATGATGTCTGTGGATTTGCCTCAGGCATGGTGATAAACAGCTAAGAATTCCTAGAATGGTCATTTGCTTGTTAAAATATGATAATCCCTCTATATTTGTTGCTACAGAGCAATTGCTCTGGGCTCTCTTGTCTACTTGTCCTGCCCAGAGTCACTCTGGCTTCCCTGTCAATCTTTGAGGTTGTCCTGGAAGCCAGCACTTAAAGGCTTCATGCAGGGGGCGAGGGGGAGTTGGGGGCAGGGGCACCAGGACACTCTTCCACACCCTTTGCTTTGGGGGATCCAATTCCAGTTCAAAGACTGTCAACAGCTTGCACATTATTCTTGTGCTAGGAGGACAGAAAGAGTCAAGGATCAGACTGATGGGTCCACACAATGGGACATGTTTAAGGTCTGGTCTAGAGTTGCGTGAAGGAATAAGATTGGATGGAAATGCCTGGGCTGTTTCAGATGGTAAATATAGAACAGACCCAGCAGTGGAATGAATCATTCTCCTTAAGCAGATGTTTGCTTTCTGATTTTCAGGGAAGAAGGTATTTTATCCAGTTCTGTTCAGTCAGTACAACCCTGGCATAATCTATGGCCATCACGAGGCAATCCCTCCCCTTGAACAGCAGCTGGTGAGTAATTACCCCCCCAGATGCCTGTGTGTGGCTCTGTTTCATGTCGCTCATTACCAGGGGCACCTGACCGTGAGGAAAGGTGAGTGGGGCTCCTCAGATCAATTCCCTTGGTGGTTTTTAAGTTTGGCAGACGTTCTGGCCTTTGCTCTCAGTGTCTTGTTGATTAAAAGTGCTTGCGATATTTAAAAGTGGAAAATTAATAGGAACAGCACCTTGCAGGAGGACAATTTCACAGCTTCCTAATTTTGTTCTGTGCTTTGGGGGAACTGGTATTGTTGCACTATGGCTGCAGAGTGCTTTCTCTTATTACAAAATGTTGCTGGGGAAGAAAAATGAGGCCAAACAAATGTTAGAAAGAGGTGGCTCAACACAGGGCACACCACAAGTCAGTGGGAAATTAGGACCCCATCCAGTACCCTGGCCTTTCACCTTCCCATCATAGCATCATTGCTTCCCATCACTGTGTTGGTGAATTTTGGCATCAGAGGTGTCCCTAGCTAGGTGGTCTTTCAAGGAAGCGTGGTGGGACTTCTCTGCTAAGATCCTGGGTAGTGGAAACCACACAGCCCCTAGGTCTCTCTAAACAAGTATGTCTGTGTCATCACAGACAGATGAAGCAGGGCAGGAAATAGGGAGGTGAGAGGCCAGAAGAGGATCTCTGTGCCCCTCCAAGGCAATTACAGTCGTATGCCCTTGTCCATGTGGGGTATGTGCCAAGACCCCCAGTGGATGCTTGACATCACGAATAGCACCAAACCCCACACATACTGGTTTCTCTATACTTATACACAGTAAAGTTTAAATTCTAAATTAGGCAGTGAGAGATTAACAGCAATGACTACTGGTAAAATGGAATAATTATGGCAATATCCTATAATAAAGATTCAATAGTCATAGCATGTTCATTTCAGGAATTTTCCATTTCATATTCTCAGATTTCAGCTGACAGTAGTAGCTAAAACCACAGAAAGTGAAACTGTGAGTGTGGCTGGGGCGGGGAGGGAGGGTGGTACTGCTGTTGGCTGCATAGGCACAGGAAAAAAAGACCCTCCTCCCACACCACTCTGGGCTGTGCTCTTTCCTGTGGGGAGATCAGCTGGCCCAGTGCTGTCTGTCCTTCCTTGCTTTTAGAAGCTTTTCCTCCTTTTGACAAACAAGGGAAAAAACCATGCTTTTGCCCACTGAGTGCCCTTGGGGGTAGGAAGGAAATGGGGTATAAACAATGGAATGGAGAACAGATTTCCACTGAAAACACGTCCTCTCTGATGGTCTCTTGGGCAATTGACTTTACCTTAAGCTTTCAGAAGTAGCAAAACCCATTCTCTCCCGCCTGCCCTGTGTCCTTTGCCCACCCCAGGTAACCTCTGATGGCTAATGGGGACTTCTCCAGAACACTGAAGCATTGGGTGTCTTCAGGGTTGGGGAGGTGCTTGCCTCCTGGTTGTCCCAGCCTGGTTTGGTGCATTCAAGCCAGGCAGGACATAAACAGTACCCTCCCTCTTCCTCCATCAAATTTTAGCACTGCAGGCTGTGTGTCTGTCTGTGTGCTGTATCTCTATCTGTGCTCTATGCATGAAAACAGAACATTTTCACACACAAAGAACCAATTTTCATCTACTTAGGAGTACAAGTCTCCTGTAGAGACGGAAGCTTGTCGTTTCCTTTCCTGAGAGTTTTTCAGTTTTCCTCAGGGTTTAAGTGGAAATAGGATAGAGCATTTCTTTTCTTTGAACCAACGAGAATAAAAGTTCTTTGGGTTTTAAATAAAGCTCTGTTTTACATTTGACATTGGGCATGATTAATGTTTCTAGTTCAAACTCAGAAAGATCCTATTTGCTTGCAAGGAATTCTTTTCATTTCACAGTCTTAAGGTTTTATCCTTTCTAGTTCATCCTGTTCTAAGCAGGTAGGCTGGAAGTTAGAGAGATAACACAGCTAAGCAGGCCTCCCAGATCTGCAGAAAAAGGGTTCCATGCGGAAACAACTCAGATCCATTGTGGTCACTGCTAGAAGCTCTGAATTTCTGTGGCTCCTTTGACATTTGCTTCCCAATTTGACCTCTCCTCCACGGCATAAAGCTGCTATTTTAGATTTCAGTTTTTATGATTATTTAATTCAGTGAAACAACAATTTGAAGGTTCTCCAGGCTGCAACAAAATACATGATTATACTCTTTACTAGACAAACTACTTCTTTCAAGACTATTTTATTATTTTTATTACCTTTTAAGAATATTTTATTTATTGTTTTTATTTTATGTGTATCAGTATTTTGTCTGCATGTAAGTGCATCCATGTATACAATGCCTGTGAAGGTCAGTAGAGAGTGTCATATCCCCTGGAACTTGAGTTACAGATGGTTGATAGCCACCATGTGGGTGCTGGTAACCAAACCCAGGTACCATGCAAGAGCAACCAGTGCTCTTAACTGCTGAGCATTCTCGTCAACCCCCTGACAAACCATTTCTTAATCACTTGCTGTCTAGAAAGGTCTGGTCCAGGGACTGGTGCAGGAATCAGAGTTGCAATTGTTTCATATATTAAAAAATGATCCATGAGCGATTCCACTAATTACTTTCTTTTTATAGAGGTGGAATGAGTGATCCATGTTTTCATAGTCAGAGACTGGGGAGATGGTTCAGTGGGTAAAGTGCTTGCTATCCAAGCATGATGACCTGAATTTGGATCTCCAACACCCTTGTAAAACCCAAGTGTGGCAGTGTACACCTGTAACTCCCGCACTGAGGGAGTGGGTTAAATAGGAGGATCCCAGGCGCTTTCTGGCCAGACATTCTAGGGAGCTCCAGATTCAGTGAAGAACGTGTCTCAGAAAATAAGGCAAAGGATGATATAGAAGGATCCCCGAAGCTGACCACTGGCCACTGCTCATGCATTCACAGATGGGCAACCTCCTCCCTCCCACGCACAAAAGATTCTGCTCTGCAAGTGCCGGAGCTTAGCCCACACCAGGATAGCCTTCCTCTAGTGCAGGGAAAATAGGTTTGCAGAACATGTCCATAAGAGCTGAGGTACAAAGAAAGTGGTCTGACAAAAATTCCAGAGGCAAACATCAACTTACCGAAATTAATATAATGGAGACAGAGTGTGTAGGTGGCGAGACAGTAGGAAATAAAAAGTAATGACTGGAATTGGATAAATTAGGGAAGACTTCTTCCTGGGGGTACATTTTGGCTCAGTCTTCAAAAAGATGTTGTGCACACGTTAACAAATCCTTGATAGCCTTCCCTGGGCCACAAGACAGGGAAATATTGGACCAGAATGGGGCTATAATAAAGGTAACTTACTCAAACAAGCGATGAGCTTTCCCAGCGGCCCTGCAAGTATAGCCTCATCTCTCAGTGTGCCAGTTGCCACTTCCACGGCTATGACTACTGTTGCTTTGTATTTTGCCTGCAGATAAAAAGCAAGAACTTTGTGTGTATCTAGATAACTAGTTTTTGTACCTTTGCATACAAAGCATTAGTTAATAAGTGACATTGTGGGATTGTATACTAATATTTAATTTTTTAATTTGAAGTCATGAGATGACTTGCTGATGTGTTAATGTAGAAGCAATGCACTGAGAAGGGAATGACTATAATTGAAATAAATGTTCACTGTAGACATCCCACTTGCTGGCTCAGGCTGCCTGTTCCTACTTAGGTCCCTACAGGAACTCCTACCTCTTCTATCTTTAGATTCCAACCCTTCTCTACACTCCAGCCTTTCTTCCATCCTCTGCCAGAGATTGGTTTTGAATAAATAGATTAATTCCAGTTTTAAAAAATCTTTTATGGCATTAAGCCATAAAATATGCTAGCAAATGGTTAGCAACAGACTGTTTGAAAGTGGGAGAGGATGCCTTGATTGATGGCATTTGCCAATTTCTGTGGTGTAAATATTCCCACTGTGCCTCATTTCAGGCTTACCAGTGTGTTGAATTGAACACACAACTGGGAAGAGCTTTGCACAGTTCTGGCTGGCCCAAACACAGTATTGCAAACTCAATTTCTTACTGGGATTAATCCACAAACTGACTCAACCTGGCGTGGGAGAGGATGCCTTGATTGATGGCATTTGCCAATTTCTGTGGTGTAAATATTCCCACTGTGCCTCATTTCAGGCTTACCAGTGTGTTGAATTGAACACACAACTGGGAAGAGCTTTGCACAGTTCTGGCTGGCCCAAACACAGTGTTGCAAACTCAATTTCTTACTGGGATTAATGCACAAACTGACTCAACCTGGATACAGAGAAAATGTCAGCAAATCCACCACGTGGTAGCAGGTCCATAGATACTCAGTTGGGCTGCTGTCATGTAGCATACCTGCTCACGGTCTCCACAGGCCGCCCTTGCCCCTGTGGGCCTCACCAGCCCATGCTCTGAGTGTTTGATACAGATATCTCAGTCTGCTACGCAGTAACACCCATCATTTAAAACCAAGAGCCTTGTGCCACTCTGTTCAGTGTGTGTGGATAATGCTGACTGGTTGTCCTTATCCTCACAGGGATCACACCTGTGCCTCTTTACTCCCCTTCAGAGAGTGTGGGTATGTGTGTGCACACATTTATGTGCAGTGTATGCACAAGTACATGTGGGTGTGTGCACCTGGGTGAGTGCCTGTATATATATATATATATATGTATGATTGTGGAAGGCAGAGGGTTATGTCTGGTGTCTTCCTTGATCACTCTCCACCTTAATTTAGGATTTTAATGTATTCTTTGACAATATCATACGTGTATCGGTGTATTTTGGTCATATTTCTCCTTCCTACCGCCCTTTCTTATCCCACCCCATTCCCTCTGCGCCCCTTCTTCCCTCCATCCACCTTATTTTCTGAGACAGAGTCTCTCTCTGAGTCTGGAACTCATTGATCTAGCTAGTCTGCCTGGTCAAGGAGTGTGTCTCTGAGCCTCCCCAACGCTGGGGTTAGAGACACCCTGCACCACACCCAGCTCTTCATAGGAGAGCTGTGGATCCTAGCTCAGGTCCTCATGCTTATAGAACAAGTGCTACAGCAACTGAGCATCTTCCTAGCCCCTCAAATAGTTGAGTTTTAAAATGTTTTGTTTTTGTTTTTGAACCACTGACCCGTGCTTCAGGATTTTTACATTGCCTACCGAATGTAGTATATTCAGTGTGTCCTTGTAACTGTTTCTATCCAAACAGGAAACATACACTCATTAAATAACAAAAATAGTGTTAATAGATGTCATTTGATAATCCTCACTGTGCCCACATTATTTCATGTAATGCTCAATAAGGGGACGAGGCATCATCATCTCATTTCATAGATAGAGAAGTTGGGCTTGAAGGCCCTAAGCTCAGACTCTGAAAACTGCTAAGTGGCAGAGGAACAAATGCGAGTGCTACTCTGTGAGACTAAGCCTGGGAAGGGGATGCTGAACAGTAGGGGATGCTGAGCAGCAGGGATGCTGAGCAGCAGGGATGCTGAGTACCCGGGGATGCTGAGCAGCAGGGGATACATCCTTTGGCTTCCTCCTTCAAGGAAGGCCAAGAGTCTAGATCCTAGAAATGAGAGAATCTAGTGGATTCTGGTCACCTCCAGTCCCCTTACAAGATATAATCACTACCCACTCAGATACCAATAAGACCGATGTGAGTCAGTGCAGACCTGGGGCGGGGGGATGACATTTGAATCCATTCTGAAATGAATTCTGGGAACCCTGTGGCTCCAGAATATGTTGATTTCCAAGACAGTGGTCTGACAGTGTTCTGGGTGCTGGAGATACAGGGGATCAGGTCTCTGAACTGATGTTCCCCAGGGGTGGTAAGTGAAGATGGTTAGCAACCAGAGAAACAAGTGCGTCCCTGAAATCATTGCAGAGAACTGTGAATGTCATAGAGACGATAAACCAGGGCCACAGTGGCAAGGGGACATGGGGGCTAGTAAGTGTGTTGACATTGGCTAGGGGGGTCAGGATGACCGCTCTGAGCAATGACTTGGAGTAGAAACTGTAATAAGGACAAAGGTGACCAGATAGGGACTCCAGGGCCTTAGATGCCTGTGAACCTGGGGATTTTGGGGGTCAGGAAACAGGGCTGTTGGGGGGAATAGAGGAAATGAGAGGAGGGGAGGTAGGGAGGCAGTAGGGCTGGGTAGAGGAACGGAAGGCCCCTGTGACTCTTGAATGGTCTTCAGCAATAGCTTGATGCCATCTCATCTGAAGAGAGCTTAAGAACATTCACTTCTGCTGGACTGCCCTTTAGGGCACTATTCCAGTTAGCAACGCCACCCAGCTGTGGTCGTGGAACCTCCACAAGCAAAATCCATCTTGCTCTGGAATTACATGCTGTGGTACAACCAAGTCGGTTTCCATAAAGCACTACATTTCAATGACCTCTTCCCACAGGGGCTTTCTGTGACTTGGCAGCTTTAAAACCAACTTACTAATAGTTTCTATGGTTCAGCCTCCAGGTCATAAATCAGAGTGTTGCCATCACATCATCCCAGGTGAGGATCACCCTTCACCTTATTCAGTCTCCCTAGGCACTACATTGATTTAGTCCAGAATTCTGGAACAGCCACTTCTCGAGGACACTGTCACAGTTCTTCCTAAGCTCTGCCTGACTCTTCTAGTATGGAGCCTTCTCTTTTAAATCCCGTGAGGAGTGCAGTCAAATCCTTGACATTTGAATACTGGCACTTCTCTCTGACTCTGTCTGTCAGACACCAAGAGGACTTGCCTATACCCTGGACAGCAGAAAGGATATTGAGCCATTAGCTGTGACAGAAACAGTCTCCCTGGGATGATAGAGATGGATCAAAATCCATTAAAAACATGACTCAGTGGAGATTTTCCCAGACTTTCCTGCCTTGCCCAATCTTTCCAGCTGCTACTAATAAAATCACCTTATCACCTGGAGATTTTGCAGGCCCATTCTTTGTCCTGAGAAGGTTTTGAAGAACATCTGCTAGAGGCAGCTTGTGCCCACAGAACCTCCCTACATCCTGAGTTTCCTCAGGCAGGCTTGGTACATGTTAAGAGTACCAAAGTGTAAGTGAAAATAGGATGGGTCCACAGGTTCCAGAGTAAAAGAAAATTTTGTTTTTATTGGCATGCATTAATTATAATAGGTTTTACTATGGCATTTTAATACATGCATCTGTATATTGACCATATTCTACCCTATACCTCCTCTTATACCCCTCCTACTCCTATTGATCCCCTTCCCCTACCTAACTAGTCACCCCCCACCCCAGCTGCCTCTATTTTCATGCCTGTTTTATTTTGTGACCCAGTGAGTTTCTTTAGGGCTGCTTATAGGAACATGGGTGTGGGGGGTATTTACAGGTACAGGGACACCTCAGCTAGAGCTATACCACTGAATAGAACATCTCTCCCTCCCATCAACCACTGACTTCCTAAATCTTCAGAGAAGGGCAAGGCCTTCTAAGTGCCCCCCCATTACAGAATGTTGAGGAGCCCAATCTTGCACAAGTCTTGCACAGGGACCATGACATGGTCTTTGCACTCTTGAACTCCAGGATGAAAGAACTGTTAAGATTCATCAACTCTTGCAAGGCATTTGTCATATATAATTTAGGCTGTGGGAAGCTTCTGGAAAGTGGAATGCAGTGATGCAATCAATTGGTGAGCTACAAGAATCTTTAGAAGGTGATTTAGCTCAGCTTCATCTTATAGGAAAGAAAATTCAGGCTTGGGGAAATGAAGATCCCTTTGTGCAGTGGAAAAGCCAGTCACTGGTCAGGCTTGGACAAGTCCCTGCTGTTCCTCTCATGAGCTGTTTGAAATTAGCAGCCAACAGGGCCAGATGTCCCAAATAGGGACTCTCCTCAGCCCTCCACTACCCTCTCTCCAGGGAGGGGACTTCCTTTCTAAGCATCTATGTGAACTACAAAGACAATCATTTTAAAAAAGTATAACTGTTAAGATCTCAAAACCATTTGCAGAATTACCTCTGATTAAAAAAAATGTGAATGTGCGTGTGTGTGTGTGTGTGTGTGTGTGTGTGTGTTTTAAGTTTTGCTGCCTCAGCAAATATATTGGAAATTTACTTCAAAGGAAAAGACTGAGCAGAGCCTGGTTTTAATAGACAGTCACTGCCTGGATGACCTCTCAGACACGCTGCAGGCTGGCACTTCTCTCTGCATGAGCTTTCTGGAGCAGCTTGGTTCTCAAATTGTGTCTTTAGAACCTGCCCGCTCAGCCCATCACCCTTTGGCTGGGGAGCCAAAGAGAGACTGAAGTCTTTCATGTTTTCCTTTGTGTTTCCTGAGGGAGATCTGGTGGTGGGCTGTGAATCCCAAGTTGCCCTCGAAGCCTTTTCTCCACTCCTGAGGCTTTGCCGGCTCTGTACCCAGGCCTGTGTGATGGCCCAGACCTCAGCTTCTCCCCTGGCACTGGGACTGGGCCGGAAACGTAGGTGGCTTTTCCATGGCACTGCTCAAAAACCTTGCTCTCCAAGATTGTTTTTGGTGGTGGTGGTGGTGGTGGTGGTGGTGTGTGTGTGTGTGTGTTTGTATGTGTGTGTGTTTTCATGCCTACACCCTAGAAACATTCCAGCCAGAGGTGCCAAAAATCACAAGGCACTACTTTGGGCCTGGTAAGCTTACTGT